TTTTTTTTTTTTTTTTTTTTTTTTTTTTTTTTTTTTTTTTTTTTTTTTTTTTGCTTTCAGACCCGATCCAATTCAAATTGGATACAGGGGTTCGGTGGGTAAAGGACCACGTCAACTCGTCCAAACTCGATTACATAGAGAGAGAGGAGAAAAGGAGTTGAAACCAAACCCAATCCTATTTCTCCTCCACATTCTTTTTCCTTGACCAAGTTCGAACCCAACCTAATTTCTCCTCCTTGACAGTGTTTTGAGCGCCATACAAGTCTACTGAGCGTACTCCCCTTCTCGGTCTAGGGATGCATGCTGTGTGGAGGAAGAAGAACTCGAAGGCTGAACATTTAACGTTGAAGTTGTGAAGCCCAAAGAATCGAAGATGTATTGATATTTGATGTAGGAAAAATCGAAAACTGAAAAGAAAAAAAAAACGAATAAGTTGAGTTGCTACTAAGTATTAAAGTACCAAGACCGAGATGAGATTTGAGACTGGAGAAGGCGAGAAAGCAATTGAAGAAAGAGAACACGAACACAACGTTCTATGTGAGCTTCATCAACTAGAATCACATTTTGTTCAGTACACATAAACCCGCTATTAATGTGCTATTTTTCTAGTAAACTGGCTATTGATCGTCATTTTTCTAATTCTACTAGGAACTCGTTTCATTCGATACACACATAAATTGGATATTGATGTGTCATCTTTCTAATTCTACTTGGATGTCGTTCATCTAAGCCTACTGGAGCTCATTTCATTCCACACACATAAAATGTGAGCTCATTTCATTCAGCAAACGACTGTCGATGTGCTGCGGTCTTTCTAATTCTACTTGAACGTCTTACTGGAGTCACAATCTCTTCCTCTTCGTTTCCCTGTAAAAGGTTCGAAAATGGTCATGAAATAGTTCTAATTTTTTTTATTTGTTATTTTAATTTGTTTAAAAAAAAAAAGAAAATAAAGTATATATATTTTGAATGAAAATAAACTGATCTTAAAAAAAACGAAATTTTAACGTTAAATTTTTTTTTATTTCTGGGTTTTTATTTATTTTTAAAATTTAACACTTTTTTCATATATATATAATTTAACATTTTTACAAATCAAATTTAATTTAAAATCAGGAGTAAAAATGAATAAAAGCTGTTTAAAATAATTTAAAGGGCTTTAAAAAGCAATCAAATTTAATTTAAAATCAGGAGTAAAAATGAATAAAAGCTGTTTAAAATAATTTAAAGGGCTTTAAAAAGTGTTTATTAAGTGAAAAAAACGAAATTATATAATATTTGAAAATAGGGATACTCACATGCTTGATTGGGATCTTCTCATAAGTTGTGAAGCTCCCATACGATGGAGAAGCCGACGAAGTGGACACTGAAAATTCATCCAAAGAAGAAGAAGCCATTGGAGTTCTTGAATTCTTCCTCGTCTTCCTCCCATGGCTATGGTTTTGAGCTTCTATCAATATCTTAGATGTTTCTGTTTCGTCTTCTTCTTTCATGCTGCTGTATTGCAGGAAACTGCTCATTTCAGAAGAGCAAAATCCTTTTATGGCGATATCCTCGCGATCGTCATCATTAATCGCTTTTTCTTCTTCTTTCATGCTGCTGTATTGCAGGAAACTGCTCGTTTCAGAAGAGCAAAATCCTTTTCTGGCGATATCCTCACGATCATCATCATTAATCGCTTCTTCTTCTTCTGGTACCGCCGGACTCTGGTATGTCTTCTTCTCTTTCAGCAATGGCGGTTCCTCTTGCGCTTCAGCAATGGCCGCCATGGATGATGTTTTTGAGCCTGATTTTCTCGCATAAATCAGTCCTGCAGGTATGATCATAGATAAACCCAGCAGTATTGCAGATGCTATAACTGCAGTGTTCTGTGAGAAATCTCTTGAGATTCTGTTATTGGTTGCAGTTCCAACGAGATCGATGTTGCTGTCATTTTCGTCTTCAGCGTCAGATTGAGGTGCAGAAGGAGGAGAAACTGGAGGTGATTGCCGTTGAATTTCTGCGTTTCTTTGTTGAATTGAATCGTTTTGTTGTTCTTCTTTTGTCTCGCCTCCTGTTGCAGCTTCTTGTTCAATTTGATCGTGAATAAAATCTGGTGATGAGGAATCTTCGTAATTCTCTTCAGTTTGCTTCTCCTGGATTTCGTCTTCTTCATTGAGTTTATCAGAAGCTGATTTTGTAGAGGTCTCTTCAATAATCTCTTGCAATGATCCTTCTTCAGTCTCTTGCAATGGTTCTTCAGAAGCTGAATTTGCTGAAGCCTGGCCGTTCTCTTCTTCACCGTCTTTTGAATCATTTGCATCGGCTTCAATCTCTTGAAACGATTCTTCTTCATTCTGAACTTCTCCTTCAACGTGTTCGATGACAATTTCTCTCTCCTTCATGGCTTCAATCTCTTCCAATAATAGTTCTTCTTCTTCTTCATTATGATCTCCTCTCACGATATGTTCTTCAACAATGTCTATTTCTCCCTCCTTCCTCGCTTCTTCCATTACGTTCAGATCATTTTCTTCTTCCCACGAGGTCTGATGAGATAATACAAGGCACTGCTCTTCCGAATTGACATCTTTGTGTAAGAATCCAGTTTGGTTAAGATAAATCAATGGCCGCCGCCCTCCGATGTTGAAAACCATATCAGAAATGTAAGGTCTGGAACTAGCATGCCAAACCTCAAATTTCCGCACCAGCACATTGAAATTCGTTTTTGCAAACTCGAAAACTTCTGTTGAATCCTCCATTGGTAACCACAAGCTCGCTCTTTCGAGATCATGAACATTAACAACACAAATCGAAAAGCAAGCAGTCAACAGAATCAAAAGCAGAGAACTGATCTTGAATATCCTGGAAAAGTGCAGCTTAGATGAAGTCTTAGCTTCAACGGGGCTTTGTTCAGAAACGTTAACAATCACTTCTTCCTCCTCCTCCCCCTCTTCCCTTTCTTCTTCTTTCATATGCGATTCATTGGAAGAAGCTTCATCAGATTCCATCTGTGGATCTTCCGAGTCAGTTCCCTCACTGAATTCAGATTCAGAGGAAAACAGTTCCTCAAGTTTGCCGTCTAGTTCGAGTTGATTGATTCTTCTTGGTTTGTAATGGAGGAACTGTGGCCTTGGGGATAGGTAATTGGTTTTGGGATCATAAGGACGCGGCATTAATGGATCGGCATCGAGCGGTGCTATTTCCATTGAAGAAGAAACAAGACTGTCCTTAAAACTTGAGTTGAGATCAACAGTCTTAGCCGGAGACTCTGAGTCGTTGTTTGGGTCAGAGCTTACCTCGACATCAGCAAATTCCACGGCCTCTGAAGCTTTGGGAGGTAATGCAGCAATGGCAGAATTTGAAATCCGAGTAATTTCAAGCTTCGCGTCGGTTTCAACTGCCATTGTTACCACCTCAGAATTTGAATGCGAATCAGAAATGACATCCAAACCACCGGATTTCACTGTTTTGGAAGCTCTGAGAGGTGCTGCTGCAATGGTGGATTTTGAAATCGGGGCGGTTTCCGACTTCGTATCGGTTTCAACTGCCACTGGTGCTACTTCTGTATCGTATCGGTATGTGGATTTCTTGGGATTTGAAATCGGAGCAATTTCCTGATTCGTATCGGATTCAAGTGCCGCTGATGCCTCCGGATTTGGATTCACCGAGTTGAGTGAAGAGCTTTTCAAGCCGGAAAATGAAAGAGACGACCGAACTAGCTCGTTCCGATCACCCAGAATTTTCTTTTTCGGAGAGACAGAAATCTTGGAGGCGGCAGAGATCGTCGGAGACATAAAGTGCTTCGTCGATTTTCCGGCCGCCGGCGAACGGATTCGAACAGGTTTTGGACTCTGATTTTTCCCATTTTCTTTCTCCTCATTGTCACGAGAATAAAACAAATTTTCTCTGCTGGTAGAATTCCTTCGTGGATAATCTGAAAAACCATTCAAAGAAACGTTCAGAAAGGAAGCAATTTACGATTTAGAAGGAACAGAACGGAAAATAATCAGCGGAAGAAACAAAATAGCCATTGAAATCGTAGCAAAGAAATGAAAGAAGCTAATAAGTAGACCTTTTGTTTACGCTTAAATTTTCTCTGCTACTTTCTCGACAACCAAACAGATTCGAACCACTCAAAAACATTCCCAATGTTCAAAATCATCCCAGGAAGGAAAACAATCGGTGGAAGAATCAAAATAACCATCAAAATCAGAGCGAAAATAAAAGCTAAGATGCTAATTATTAGAAGAGATTCTTTCAATTTTGTACCCCAAACAAATTTTCTCTGCCATTTTCTCGGCAAAAAAAAAAAAAAAAAAAAAAAAAA